AATTATTTTTCTGGTCATGTTCTTTATTTTTAAATTGTCATATACGTCAACAACCTGCATGTTAACCTGGCCCGTACATACGTTACACTATATCTTCATGTCTTCTAAATTTAGAAATCATCTGAATCGCCTTTAACATTTGTCAATAAACCCATCATATAAATAAAAATAATATATTTGTAATATCGCAATGAGTAGAAAATCCAATTTTCTACTCATTGGGATATTACAAATATATTATTTTTATTTATAACAATGAACCCAATGCTCAATTTATTCGAAATTATCAAATCAAACCTTAGTAATGACACCTACAAACCCATCATAGTCGTTGTTCCTAATCGTATTTGGGTTTATGGATTGGTTTATCATATTAGCAGCCTAAAATGCGAACATAGTTTAGATAATAAGATAACAAATTTAAGTACTATCAACTGCACTAGTAAAGTAACTAAATCTTCAGGTAGTTGTTGGCTAAACAAACGTTTAAAATCAAAACTCCGTAGCCTACTAGGATTAACACAAAACGAATATTTCTGAATTGAAATTTATAATTAAATTAGGCGTCTCGGATTCTTTAACGTTATAAACTTCTGATAATTTCGAATCACCTAAAGCAACAATACCTATTTTTCCACTGACTAATCCTCAATCAACACTATAACTAGTTAAACGTAATAGTTCCAGGATATCGTCATAAAGCATTGTCATGACTTAACAATCACGTAATATGATTGATAAAGTTAATAAAACTATTAACAAAATCGGTCAGCAAATTGACTTATAATTATTTCTAGTGTTGTTTTACTTTTATCTTCATTCACTACAGATGATTACAGTATGCTTCTCTATCAGTTGCTCATTCAGTAAATATCTCAAAACCTTGTCAGTCTGATTGGAGGTTTAGCGACACAACCATGCATGCAAATAATCAGCATAAGCAGTTGAGCGAATTTCCTGCAAACTAAAAACATCAATGTCGAATTTACCCCAACACTGACTAAGTTTCAAGCCATTATCAAAGACGTGAGTTGGTAGTGTACTTCCCTTGGTTACAACTTGTATCAGTCAGTCAGTAACAACGTAGAACTTCGTACGTACGTACATCAGTTCAAGTTGCCACACCACATTAGCCTGTGACCAACAATAGGTTCATACGCCATTTGTTTCCTTAAGATGCTGGAGCTCATGTACACCATTGGTTTGGAAGAGTTTTCTAACTCCCCTAAGTGGGACCTTCGTATCCACCAACTCATATAAAGTGCCGACTGTTCGCTTTTCGTCCTCTCAATTTCGTATACAACACCCCCACCGCGAGGTAGTGAGTAGGACTTCCCTGGCAGTGGTTGTATTCCCGTGGCCATGTGAGAGCATTTCGAGAAGGAGGGCAGAATCTCTCCACCCTCGGCTATATCATGGCGTTTGGGGGAAAAGCTAGCATATAGTGTTGCAGTAGTTTTTCAACCTTTCATAAAAGTGCGTCACTACATACAGTTAGTTTTCATAATTATTTTGTTCAAACAAATATTATATAAGACGTTTTATGGCGATATTGATACAGTTGACTAAACGTATAAGCACCTCGCAATTATATCCAGACTTAATACATATTCACTCCATACCCTGTCAGTCATGAGTAACGTAGAACCTGACACACGTGTATCGGCTAAAGTTGTTACACTTCAGATTTGCATGATGGGAGGAAATCAGAATGTGTTATAACTTGGATTAGAAGAGAGTTTGTTGTCAGTTATAGCCTGCAATTTACCGAACTGGAAAATATCAGCGCGAAAGCGAACGACTGTATTTAATTTTTAACAGTCTCCGAAATTCTCGACTCAGCCCTAAACTATTAAAAAGACAAAACCTGGTCGATGGAGAACGTATGTATGTATATTATGGGAAAAACATTATACACAACTTTTCTTTTTGTAGATTATTAATTCTACTTAAATAACGACAACTTGGGACGAATTTCATACTGAACAAATGGCAGTACTTAATGAACCTAACAAAAATCATCACAATAAAACTGTATTATACTGAAGTAATTTAGTAATTGAAGTCAACAAAATTCAACCAAACATTAGAATGAACGGTTATCACATTGAATTAACCGATAATCTTACATCTAATTGCCTCTTATTACGATTAAAATTAAAGATGTCGAAGTAACAATTGTATTGAGGACAGTAAAAACAAAGCAGAGAATACAGTATGAAAATGACGAATGTAATAGAGGGACAAAAAGTGTGAAATAATATTAAAACGCAAGATTTAGAATAAAAGAAAAGCGAGTTCACTTGCTACTTGTTGTCTTCATTCAACTTAGTCTTGTGCATGCCACTATTTCATGTAGAATCAAACGATTGAGTATGGTTAACATGTGTTCCGCTAGCCTCACTCAATGAAAGTTTACAACTTTGTCAACCGATTTATCATTTTGCACCAAGTATCCTACGACTAACTTCGGTTAGGGATATTCAATCTCAATACAACTTATGAGAAGCAAACCAATATCAATTAGGTCGAGATTCTATTACAGAAAATTATTCAATGCGAACACATGATGGAGTTTTAAATCATTTTTACGATATTTTGTATTAATGACAAATAATCAATTCAAGTATTCTAATTATTTCTTTAAAGATATATGATTGATAAAACTTATTGCATTTCGGGATAATTATACTGGGCCAAAATGAAATAGCTTAATCTACAAAAACTGATGTTTTCACTCTGGTCACTGGGGCAGGAAAGAAAAGAGGATGTAAGTAGTGTTTTCATGGTATTCAAGTCAGAGTTGCGAATTATTAGCAGTGCAAAAAAAACATATCAGAATTGGTTACGAGAGATCTAAAAACGATTATCGAGATTACTGATCCCTATTGTTAGTACCAAAGGAGTGTTATGTTTATCAACATTATAACGAAAGACTATCCTTTATTAAAGAATAAGGTGATCAATTTAAACGCCTCTAGTGAAATTATATGTCTTTCTGAGTAAGTCCTAAATTGCAATCTCCATCAATTAGTAATTTTTCACAAACAAAAGATACTATGAGAAAACACAATCTTAAAGCACAACAAAGTATGATGATTACGGAACGTTAATATTAACAACTGATAATATTGTCCAACATTTTCAAAAATATCTGAATGTAATGAATAAAGCTCTAAATAGATTTCACGAAATGAAGAACAAAACATGAAAATCCTGATACTATCACAACAGTAAGACAAGGTCCGAAAACAACAAAACTGAAACTTAAATCGGCATGCTGTAAAACCTTATGTTCAACAGAACCAAGATGACCAAGGATATATCAGAACGGATTATCTCTTATGTATGAAAAAGCAACCTCAAATGTATGTCAATATGTGGCTTTAGAAAGTGTTCAGTTTTATCGAAACCACGAACCACTGTTGAAAACATGGTCATGATTTTAATGAGATTCAACAATCTTCATAACCCCATACTAACAATCATCATGTTCACACTAGTGACTGACCCCGAGAGAAAGTTTCAGAAGTTCTAGTGAGAATCCGTGAGAGCCAGTGGAGCTAAACTGCGTCATGTGTGGTAGTTAACTACCGTAGACAATGGAAGGTGGTCACGCAATATCGTGGATTCATCGAAATCAGACATTATCACGAATGAATTATGACTCAGAAGTCTAAAAGTCAGGCGTCCGCGCGCTAGCCTGAAGGTCTTGGACTCAATTTTTGAGCGCGAGGCCGTGGGTGTGCACTCCTGGGGTGTCCCGTACTAGGATGAAAAGACTGTCTAGTGCTTTCGGGGTCTCAATGGTGTTCAAATTTGGATCAGTTCATAATCTCAACGAAACTGAAAACACAAATTTCATTTTTCGTGAAGAATCTAAATGAAGTGAGTGTTAGGAATCATAGAATTATCTGTAAAACTCAACTCGGAATCAGTACAGAGGTATGTGTAAATCCAAGATGCACACCTATCAACTGAAAATGATTTATACCGGTTACTGGCCCAAAATCTTGTTAGATAACGAAGAGTTAAAATCCATATGATACTGATTGACACTTAAACGTACCCAAACAACAAACACAGATTAAGTTGCCCGACCGCAGCTGCCAACTTGACGTGGTGGCCGAGCTTGCCTGTCGTGATGACTCAGTCGAGCTATATTGGCTGGAACAATTGTCTCTTCAGGTTTTACCATGCCAGACAGGTCGGTTGGAGAACGGTAAAACTAAAAGCAGAAAATCAAGGCCTGAGGGTAAACTTATACTCCTGACTATAGAGGGCTGTGACAGTAAACAATCAGCATCTGCAGCGACGCTGTTTTTTTGTGAATGAATGAAGAGGTTGGAAAACGTCTATCATAAAATTGTCACACCTCACCTCACTCTACAGATTTCCATCTGAAGGGGTAAATTTGTTTGAAATGCGTACCATAAGAAGGTCGTGCATGACCGTCCCCAAGCAGTCGTGCTTCGTCATTACTCTTAGATCGCCAAGACCGACGTTAATCTAGCTTCTTTTTCAAATCTCTTAAGAAATATCCTTCCACGGTGTGGGGAAGCAGGAAGTGACAGCTGCCATCATACCTCTAACTGCATCTGAAATCATCATGTCCACATTAAGCTACGACAGAAAGCTGCCACGACAAACCATTAAGAGCAATAGGGTAACTATAACAATGTACATTCTTTTTTTTATTTTGAAGAATAACATCAAAAAGATTGAGAAACAACCAATGTAATCCAATCATCCTGGGTAACATAAACTATACTATGGCTATCATGAACTTGGAATCCGAGCGGACGATAATGTCTGACATTCACGTTTACTTATAGTAAACTAACACTGAATACTGAGTTCTTATCACACGCAATAAGAACCAACCGTCAGTGACTAACACATGTTATAAAATTAAGATGTGAACAGTGTTACCACGAGTGTTAAAAACGTTTAACATTACATAAAACACTTATATAATTGAGTGTTAAGACGTAACTCACTTTTAAAATACAGTATAATAAACATACAAATATTCTTCCAGCTAAGATGCCCTGTGGTTTCCAATTTAATTCTACCAGGAAATATATCCACAGAATCCCAGGTGGTATGTGTCTTAGGAATAAGAATATATATTCCAAAAAACAGAGTAATGAACCCTGAAACGAAAATGATGGCGTAAAATGGATACCAGAATGTATGAAAAGTTGGACAAAGATGACTAGAATGTTTATTTGTTCACACAAGCATATAAACATTGATACAAGGAGTCACCACATGTTTATGCGCCACACAAATAACTCAATTTGTGCAAGAGCTGGAATACTGCTCGGGTGCCCAAACTGAAGCAGGTGGCTTTCTTAGGGGGCTACAACCCGAGCCTTTGACCTGAAGGTCTAATCCATAAGGCAGCGGAGCAACGTAAGCAGATGCAGTCTCATGGTAGCCTGTGACCAACAATAGGTTCATATGCCATTTGTTTCCTTAAGATGCTGGAGCTCATGTACACCATTGGTTTGGAATCAGTTTTCTAACTCCCCTAAGTGGGACCTTCGTATCCACCAACTCATACACTCTTGCTACCTCTACCACTACGGGATTTGAATCGACAACTGCATCTCTGTGTTAAGGTGGTGTGGCAACTCGAACTGATGTAAGTACGTACGATGTTCTACGTTGTTACTGACTGACTGAATCATATAAAGTGCCGACTGTTCGCTTTTCGTCCTCTCAATTTCGTATACAACACCCTCGCCACGAGAAGGCAGTGACTAGAATGTAGATGCATTTACACAACAACCAGCTAGCGGAATATGTTGTGTGCTCTAAACCTCAGATATATCTAACAGTAAGGTTATTAGACTGACAAGAAGCAACGAAAATTATCTCTAGCTTGATTCTATAGTCATAAAATGTATTTGGGCGTGAATGACCTCAACGCCATGAAGGGACCACTAAATGCTTTGTTAGAAAATTTTGAAATGCTACTTTTTTTATTCGGGTCAAGTTTTTTGACCGACTGTTTTAATGACGAAAGTCAATACTGTCAAGTTTACCACTAGTCAGTCAGTCAGTAACAACGTAGAACTCCGTACGTACGTACATCAGTTCGAGTTGCCACACCACCTTAACACAGAGATGCAGTTGTCGATCCAAATCCCGTAGTGGAAGAGGTAGCAAGAGTGTAAGCAGTGATCGGGAAGATTAGGGTTTGAAGATGTTATTTAAAGAATATAATTCAGAGCAATAAATTTGGAAAGAGGAAAAAAAGGGACATGGAGAATTCAGATTAGAATTTGGGAGAACACAAAGAGTGGATGCACCTGCGCCATTGCAAACGATTTTGAGCCATGTCATTCAGGGTCTCTAACCATCGGTTGCTATCATCTCGCGGTCCATAACCAGGTAGTCTACACCTACCGATATGACTCACCCCACTTGTCAGTGACTTCATGGACTTGTGCCATGTTTTGGTCTGGCCGCCCCTAGCTTTCTTCCAATCAACTCCTATACCACTGAACATCGCACGTCGAGGCAGTCGGTCGTTGGGCATACGTAACACGTGTCCCAGCCATCTCAACTGATGACGTTTCACCACTTCATCAATTGATTTGCCATCCTTACCTAGTACCCGTTTCCTAACAACTGTGTTATTTACTCGATGGTCCCATGATATACGAGCAGTGTTTCGAAGACACCTATGATCGAATACTAGTAACCTACGAATATCCTCTACTCTTACCGGCCATGTTTCACTGCCATAAAGTAGGACGGAACAAACTGCTGCGCAGTAAACACGTCCATTGGTTGATAGACGGTTATCTCGCCTACGCCATAAATGACGCAAGTTGGCAAACGCTAGTCGAGCCCTCTGTATCCGTGCTGACATTTCGTCACATACCAGACCACAAGGGCTGATGAAACTTCCAAGATAAGTGAAGCGGTCGACACACTCAACTACTTCACTCCCTATCACTAGTTCGGCTGTCGATGTAACCCAATCCTGAAGCAACATTTTGCATTTCAAGGGAGAGAATCGCATCCCGAACATACTTGCATTGTTGCTTAGAGTGGTCAGAAGACTCTGCATTTTGTCAGCGTCTTCACCAAATAAAACTATGTCATCAGCATATTCTAAGTCAACAAGTGAACCTCCCGGTAGAAGTTCAGCCCCTGGAAATTTAGATGAGGAGAGTGTTATCTCTAAAAGTACGTCAATGACAAAGTTGAACAAGAATGGGGAGAGTGGACAGCCCTGACGAACACCACTTGATATAATCAATTCTGATGACAGTTCGCCATAAGCTCTCACTCTACCAGTTGTGTTCGAGTAGAGAGCCTGAATAAGGTTAATGTACTTCTTTGGTACTCCTTTCAGTGACAAACACTGCCATAGAACCTCACGATCAACAGAGTCGAATGCCGCCTTAAGGTCGAGAAATACTACCATTGTGGGACGTCTAAATGTGTGTCTGTGTTCTAGAACCTGACGTAGTGTGAATATCTGATCTATACAACCACGTCCAGGTCGAAAACCAGCCTGGGTTTCTTTAGTCTGTTCTTCACGAGCTTTGATTAAGTGTCGAAGTATTATTGAGGCTAATATTTTAGACACTATATTAGTCAAACTGATTCCTCTGTGATTGTCACAAGAGGACTTTTGTCCTTTCTTAAAAACTGGCACAATCAGTGATTGAGACCAGTCAGATGGCATTACGTTCAGTTCCCAAATTCTACCTAAGACCTCGGTTAATCTCACTGCTAATACTGGACCACCATCCTTAAAAATCTCGGAGGTAAACCTGTCAGGGCCTGCTGCTCTCCCTCGCTTCAGATTTCCTATAGCCTTTTCAACTTTGTAAAGGGATGGAGGACTTACATTAACTTGCCATTCAGGTTGACTAGAGATTGTGGGAAACCGAAGTGTGGCTGAAGGCCAGTTGAACTGATCCCTGAAGTGTTCTGCCCATCGATCCAATCTCCTGTATTGAGAATGAATAATATGTCCATCTTTCTCTGAGATTGTTTCACTAACGGTCGGGTTCCTAATTCCGGTTTCCTTAACAAGTCTGAACAGTTGTCTGCTATTACCTATTGCCGCTGCCTTTTCCATCTCTCTTGCTTTCGCTACCCACCACTGTTCGAGATCATTGCGTAGACTTCTTGTCAGCTTGCGCTTAAGCTGATTCCGCTCTTCACTATGTTCAGAGCCAGATGGAATGAGTTTCCGAGCATCTATCAGTGCGATAGATGCTGCTGAGACCAAGTGTTGCTCCCTAACCTTCTGATTTAACTTACTAGCAGATATCACTGCTGTTTCCACAGCTTTTCGGATATCATTCCATGCTGCCTCAGGGTGGGCATCACATACATGGCTGCCTAACTGTTTTCCTAGTTGTTCCTGAAATATACTCTTAGCTTGACTATAATTAAGTAGGGCCCTAAGAGGTTTCCTTGCAGCGTCTTTCCTACGTCCAGTAAGACGCAAGCAAATAGGTGCTCGTACTAGAGCATGATCTGAATCTAAGCATGTGCTCCAGAATGAGCGACAGTCTTCTATCGAGCCCCTCCATCGGTGGCTGATAGCGATGTGATCTATTTACCACTAGTGCAAATTTTGAAGTGTATGTAATAATCGTTGTTAGCACACAAGAAATCAGTACTACTTTATGTAGATAACTTGAATGATATCAAGTAGTTGTATCAGAAATTGACAAATTATTTCACTGGATGAAGGACTTAGAATTTTTTCTAAAAAACTCACCTTAACTCAATCAGTTATGGAAATCAAACGACCGTCGAAACACAACCAAGGCCGATTGGTTGTATAAGAGTGAAGAAAATACACAATAACAACATCCCGTCTACAAGCATTACATTAGTTAAGGTCATAAAAGGTCATGAATCTTACTATTTTACTAATCGACGTGTAACAGGAAAAATTTATTAAACAATTCTGGATTACCTGAGACTATTATTTGATCACGTTACAGCGATGGAACTGTGGTTTGTAGAGTATATATTACGGCCAAATTGACAACCATTACCCCAATATACGGGTTAAGATTGACTACTATAACGAGAGTTCTAGTCCACTTTCTCTATGGAAAAGTTTTTAAGGCCATTTAAAAATTTGCTCTCATGAAGTTTCTTAAAGTCAATAAATCTTTGCAATTTCATCCGATATTAATGATAACTCCTTCCAAATGAACTTAATTATGATGTGCAACAGTTAGTGCCGTTACTCACTAATAACTTGGAAAGAGTGGTAACTTAGAAGTTTAACCATCCGGGTTGTAACCAGTTGGTAATAAGTCTAAAACCCACTTTACTTAGATTTCACAGTGAGTTACCATAACTAGACTCTACGCAGAAAGTAGTTTAATGTAAATACGAGTTAAAAGTTGATTACAGAGTTGTAGGTTGTAGAACTATCGATTGAGTAATATTGAGTTAAGGGAAAATCATAGAGGTGGTTTCAAATGAGCAATGCATAGTGTATTGAGTCGATAAGCTGCAGAATGAAGCCCACCGTATAGCTCCTTCGAAAGTATTTTCTCTACTGATTTCTGTATATTTGATTTTTTGATACTATAGAGAAGATAATACATCAATAATGAGTTCACGAAGACCATATCTTTTCAAGTTGACATGATACTACCTTCACTTTTTGTAAGAAACTACAGGTACTTACGTTTTAACGCAGTGAAGAAGTCTGTACACAAATAGATTATTAGCACATCAAGACACGAAGTATAAGGTAAAACTACAACGGTGGATGAACTAAGGCTACGTAATCCGACAAATGAAGGGGATTTAGCGAACGGGTCTTTCGAAAAACAAGTCACAGACGGTTTAGTATCATAAGTTTTTAACAGGTAGAGACGTAGAAATATCCATTGATCCCACACAAGTGTGAATGCCATTGACTTATTAAGTATCATTTTACGAATACTCTGTTCTTTATAGTATCAACACATTAGTCCAGTGATGAAGATATTCAGCCTCATGTTTATACAAATACAATATATTTAGGATGTAGCTAAAGCAACCCTGAAGTCAACGGCATTTTCGAGTTTCGAATAACTAAAAACCCTGCGTGACTAACAGTGCTCAATGAAACTGGGTGACGTGAAAATAAGGAAAAAATAAAATATTCAATATCTCGAACTGTCAACCAATGAAAAGTACCAGGAATATCATACGGATAGATTAAACCAACCTACCATGGAGTAGAAATCAAGTGTTTTAGACAGGCACAACAAAGATACGCATTTAATAAATATCGATAACAGTTTTAAGGAGCAGTCGGAGATGAAAATATACCACAAATTCAGTGGTAGACTTGATACAGAACTAGAAGGCTGCAATAGGAAACTGTAAACGTTACTGTCGAAAAAATAAAATCTTACACATTATAAAAACCCTGGTTCCATAGAGAGTATTGAACTATACATAGATGTGAGAGCGAAACGACGGATAAGGGAATGCAAATCTTCCGGTATGAAAGATCGAAAAAACCTACAACGGTATTAGATAAGCAAAGCTCTAGCCCAGTTAGCATAAGATCAGGGAACCCTCGAAGCACCCGAAGCACTTCAGGCTACTTCGAAGAAAATTATACGTTCCCTAAACTGCCAGGAGCTATAGACTGCCTCTAGGGTCCCGTTTAATGCTAACTGGGAAGTATTGAAATTACCTGTCTGTATCTCTGAATTCATGTAGAGGACCGTAATGTATCCCCATGACGCCAGAACAATATCTATAAGAATTAATTTTCAAGATGTCTCATGTACTAGTGAAATATTCTCCATATAACTTCAGAACAATCACCGATATAAAACAAATGTGAAAGATATTACGTAATGAAAGGAAATGATCTTTTTTCACTTTTTGCTCTGTAGAAGACTCATCACAACCAGAAATAATAGGTAAGATACTATGGTTAGATTGCACCATTTTACATAACCCTAACTGACCTAGAATTGCCGAAATTCCCACCACCAAATTCAAAATTCAATTCGTATCAGAAATAGGCTTCCGTTTGTCTCTTGAAATTAACATCTAGGTTACTGAAGCTGATCCTTAAGAGTAAAAATTTATCTCTATGATTATTCTCATCTGATGCCAAACTTGGAAAGGCGATAATTTTTTCTATAGTGATTTTTAAAAGAGCAGTGATTTTTGTACTTGTCGTGATTATCCTTGCTTTGTGTACTTGTTTCACCAAAAACATTCTTGATCTACTTTAACTAAAAGTACTTCGGTTAAGGTTTGAAATTTTTGCTAAACTTTGTCCTGTGGTACCTTTTTTACTCATCGATTGACACTCGTGTTCACATTGTAATCATATTGTGTCTTAAACCTTTTTAATCAAGATACAATGGTTAGTAAGACTTATAAATGTGGACAACCAAACTGCTTGTTCCCCGATGAGAAAGGAATGCAGTGCGATGAATGTAAAAAGTGGCACCATAAGATGTGTACACGTATAGGTCCTACGGCATACAAAAGATGCTCGAAGCCCAACTAGCATTGGCTTTGTATGTTTTGCTGTACAAATAAGAAGTTACTAATTCAGGAGGCTATGAGCCTATTGGCTTTGGCCCGTAAGAAAAACGATGGTGGTTCCGCTGATAACATGAGCACTGACGGTGAAGAAAATGTCAGTGTAGTACGTGCTGCTACCGGACCCGCTAAACACCCGACTGTGATTGACGAGAAAGTGAAATCTCCGTTAACATTAACGAGGAGTGAAGTGCCACTTGATATTGACATCGGTAATCATAAACCTCTAGTAGAAATTGAAGATCTGGATAGGACTGTCACCGTTCCAAAGTCCCGGTGTTGCTGTCCTGAGTGATGATAAATGAACTTCAGTACGGAGAAAAAGAAATGAGAAGAAAAGAGCTGTAGGCAAAACGCAACTGGTTAGCAAGTCATTGGAAGAGACGGTAACAGGAACAAAAACTCCGCTGTGTGTTAAGACAGATCTCTCTGAGAGGTCAGTCATTTTTCTTAAGTTAAGAGAATCTTCCGATTAGGAACCAAAGGCTAGATTTGAACACGATCTCAGTCATATTAAGTCATTAATAAGCAAACTACTCCCAGATACAGTTTCAGGAGTTAGTATTTGTAAGCTTTATAGAATACGACAATAGGTGGATTCGGAAAGTTCTCAGAAAAACCGTCTCGTAAAGGTTACATTTCCCACATTTGAAGAAAGGAACCTGATTCTAGGTAACTCACGTAAACTGATTGGATCCGGAATACACGTCTGTGATGATCTCAGCCTAGCTGATCGTATTAAGAGACGAGCTGCAGAAGTGTAAATAAATGAGCGTCTCCGGAAAGGTGAAAGAAACATCGTTCTCAAGGATTTTCAAATCATAAAAGTTCGGAGCAAAACGATTCCCAAACCACTCTTGAAGGTAAGGGAAATTTCTTCACAGAATCAAAGGTATGCTACACAAATGCTCGCAGCCCACTAGATAAAAGAACGGAGCTCAAGTCAATGGTAGATAAAGAAAAATCGGACGTTATTGCTGTTTCGGAAACTTGGTTAGCGTCAGAAGTATTAAATAATGAAATTCAGTTGACTAGTTTTTTAACCAGTAGGGCTGATAGATTAAACCGTAGGGGAGGCGGGGTTATCCTGTACACGAAAAGTACCCTAACCATAAGAATAGCTGAGACAGTGGCACATGTTTCAGGAACATGTGAACTGGTGCAATGTAAGCTGAAATGTAGATGGCAACACATTGAATTAGTTGCAGTATATCGCAGTCCGGAATGTGTAGCAGATGATTTTCTCCTAGATATACTTAAGTTCTGATGTAACAAGGGTATAAGCTTCGTAGTAGGCAACTTTGATGCACCGTATATAAACTGGGTTAACTGAGAAGTAGGGTCATCGATAACGTCGTTCGACTGCAAACCGTTAGACACCTCGATTGGATTAGCTTTATTCCAACACATTAGAAACCCCACAATATATGACTTGAGAAATTCTTCTTCTCTTTTAGATTTAGTCTTCACACACGGTGATGACGTTGATCAAATGGTTTCTCTCCCACCACCTGAGAGAAGTGACCATGCAGTCATCTTCTTCAAATTCATGGCTGAGACTGCCTGTCAAACAATTGCGCCGGCCCGTCTTAATATCTGTAGGGCAGATATGGAGGCAATCAACTCCGCAGTATCGGCTGAAATCTGGGAAATAGACTCAAGGGAATAAGCACAAGAGGCATGGACTATTTTCAGGCGGTTATACAATCGGGTAACTCAACCATACATATCCTGGACAATTCCAAAGAAGAAGAAGCACGGCCACCCCTGGATAGGTCGAGATATTTGACGTTTACTAAGACAAAAGAAGGAATGTTGGGATATTGCCATCCGCCTTGGCACAGCAGGCACGATGGAACGCTACAGATCGGTAAGAAACAATTGTATGACGAAAATTCGGGAAGCTCAAAGAAAATATGAAATGCAGTTGGCGTAATCTTCATTCAAGCAGCCCAAGAGAATATTCTCGTACATAAACTACAGAACAAGGATGCATCAGTGGATTCCCAACCTAATTAAAGAAGGGAGTGAATCTGAAATCATAGAGGAAAATCAGGAAAGAGCAGAAGCTATGGCTGACTATTTTGGGACAGTTTTCACTCAGGAACCCCCTCTAGACAAAGAACCAAACCAAAACAAAGAGTCAACAAACCACCTGCTCACCGTGGACTCCGATCAAGAGGATGTTCTTGAGGCTCTCAGCATCTTAAACATGGAAAAATCAACAGGACCAGATGAACTACACCCCAAAATCTTGAGATATATTGCATATGTCGCGACCCCACTGACTGTGACATTCAATATGTCACTTGACCAAGGTATGTTACATATGAACTGGAAGGTCTGAATCGTCACTCCCATACATAAAACAGGACCAAGACAAGTTCCATCGAACTACAAACCTGTAAGCCTCACCAGTGTTGTAGTTAAAATATTGGAAAGAATAGTCAAACGGACAATAATGGGATTTATGGAAACCAATAACTTGCTAAACATAGAACAACATGGTTTTAGAAAGGGTCTATCCTGTAACCACAATTGATTGATCACTGGGTGGTGATCAATGTCATGCTTGTCTAGTCCTTATTAGTCCAGATGGAATGCTATCGATCATGTTGCAATGTGGCCACCAGTCAAGGTGACTCGACACTGCGGGCACTATGTATTGAGATTTAGATGGTGGTTGGAGGTAGTCAACAGGAAACCTATCTTGTACAACGAACCTCCTTATAGCAAGGGAGTTTTGGATAAATGCGCTAGACAACGGAAATTCAGTGGATGTTGTTCACCACAGTATACACACCCTTAGTGAGAACTAAGCCTCAGAACTGAGTTCAGACTGCAAGCCCCTGTCTAAAAGGTGACTCGGATATCCTTGGAAAAGTACAGAGGGCAGCTACCCGTGCAATTCCAGAACTCCGGGGTTTACCATACAAAGAGCAGCTTGAAAAGCTGAACCTCTTTACTCTGTTCTATCCTACATTAAGGAGAGATCTACTTTTGATGTACAGAATACTGAGAAGTGATTTTGAACCTAACTTATTGTCTTTTTTTCTTCACACTAGATCGGGACACCTCAGAGGACATAACAGGCGAGCAGAAAAGCCAAGAACGAACAAACTACCCGTGGCATACAGGTTTTTACACCGTGTCATCAACACTTACAACCTGCTGCTCGAAGCAGTGGTGTCCGCACCTTCAATTGACACTTTCAAGAGAACACTGGACACTCACAGAAGCATACTGGAAAAGGAATAACATAGGTCGTAGGCCGTCTGTACTTACTACACAAATCTGAATCTGTTTGCATGATTTCCTATCTTAACATATTCAGTATAACAAAATAAACCTTCAGTTGCCTACCTGCTTGAAGCCTGATATCCACAAATTCCTTATGGTGATTCTCAAATACCAATGAATGAAGGTTACCAACTAGACAAAGCCTTGTGTAGGTAGGTTACCTGTCTTTTCACATAAGGTTCATAGAGATGAACAAGAAGGAGCAGCTCATGTGTTTCTTGTTGAAAGTATATACTGCTTCTACATGGACGCCGCGACTTCACCGAACAAAATAGAACGTAGCAATGCTCATGAGCACGGTCATTATTTGAATGAGATTCAACAATCTCCATAACCCCATACTAACAATCATCATGTTCTCAGTAGTGACTGACCCCGAGAGAAAGTTTCAGAAGTTCTAGTGAGAATCCGTGAGAGCCAGTGGAGCTAAACTGCGTCATGTGTGGTAGTTAACTACCGTAAACAATGGAAGGTGGTCACGCAATATCGTGGATTCATCGAAATCAGACATTAGCACGAATGAATTATGACTCAGAAGTCTAAAAGTCAGGCGTCCGCGCGCTAGCCTGAAGGTCTTGGACTCAATTTTTGAGCGCGAGGCCGTGAGTGTGCACTCCTGGGGTGTCCCGTACTAGGACGAAACGGTTGTCTGGTTTGAAACTACAAACTGCTTTCGCATAAACGCCATGAAATTACCGAATAAAATGGATGAGCTACGTGAACTTAGCAACGTTCGTAATGCGCATGTGATAGAAATACCTGAAACTTAACTTGGAAATTGAAACACCGCTACCACGATCATAATGACGTGTATGCACTTCAGAGTATACTTAACTGACAGAAATACTTAATCTAAACGCAAGTATTTTATGTATATAGGTAGTAAAAGCTCAGAATTATCGATACTTCGGCTTTTTAAATCCTGTGTGAAGTCGAAATCTCTTGGCATGACTAAATTCTTCCTAGTTAACGGAAGCATTGTTGACGACCCAGATATTGTTTGCAAACAATTCAGCAAGCACTTCTCGTAACGCAACAAAACTGGAACTGAAAGGTCTATCATTACATTTCGAATGCTGACATCCAGACACCTATCGAAAATTGATTTCATACCCTCCAATATCAATCAGG